ATTCGGAACAAAAACCACGAGCAGAAGGTTCACGGAAACCATCACTTGGATCCACCTTAGATTTCAGCAGCTGTTTCCCACCAATTTGTAACCAACACCATAATGTGTCCGACAACATAATGTTGGACGGTACCAAATCACCATGGGCAACACCCAGACCATGCATGTAAGAAAGAGCCGATAGTATTTGATACAGTAGGAGCTGCATCATCCAATCAGACTTTATGGAGCCGGGGCTATAGCGCAGAATGTTTTCAAGTGTATATGGTGCCTTTGGAAATACTAGGCCAATTTGGCAAGATGACTTTAGCATTCCCAAAACTGGACAAATATTTGGATGCCTTATGCAGCCTGGGAACCCCTCATCCTCAAATGTTGGCAGTCCAACCAAACTAAGAAAATTTATACTCTCTCTTGTTGCGGACTTTCCTTCCATAAGATGGCTTATCGAATGCAGAAGTTGATCTTCATTCAAACCAGACGAGAAATTCGAAGCAAGCTCATCAAATAATTCATGGGACGCATGACCAATCTGAGCAGTCGGGGCCAATGAAGTTATGGTCCTCGAGCAAGAAAACCTAGTCGACGTTCTACATTTTTCACAACCTATACGGAAATCGAGTCTGCCCGGGAAACGCCGACATTCAGTTGGTGGAGAATCTAAAGCAGTATTTCTAACATTACAAATTCCAACACTGACCTCTGCTTGATCTTGCTCTACGCAAGACGGGCTCGTCGGTTTCTCCATGGTGCACGCATCACCACCTTCAGGCTCACAATAATCATCCCTGCAAAGAAGAACAAAACATTATTCGTATCAAAAGCACTCTGAACCTACAAGTTAGAACTCATAAGTATAGTTAACAACAGAAATATGTGAAAGCAATCAACCATACACGTATCTGCCCAGGCAAGCGTATTTACTGTAAGGCACGTAATCCAAAACGAACTGCTGCGGTGTCACTTCACCGGAATCCGGCACCTGTGACCCATTAACAAGCTGGTTGATGCAAAAACTCATTTGAACAGTAAGCAAAAAGGAAAAACAAAAAGAATTATTCAAGAACAGATCACATGAACAGGTTAGAGACCTGAACGACTGCTCGGGAACCAAAAGGGACGGTTGAATCGGAGAGGCCGTGGATGAAGGTGAGTCGGCCGGAGAAATCGGCTTCGATTCGCCGTTGAAGGCAATCGAAGCACATTTCTGACACACTTCCCATTTTTCCGGAATTTTCTTGATCGGCTTCCTCTGCTAATTTATCTCCATTAAAATCGGATTCGTTGATCCTGTGGGTTTTTAGTCGGAGAAATCATCTTCTCCAGTGAAGCTTTAGCTAGAGGTTTGAGTTGGCACTTACCACAGCCCATTAAATCCTGTTTGTATACACGAATACGATACAGTTTTCAACAATTTTTTACTAATATTTTGGGAAATTCCGTTTTCATACAAAGTTTACATCATTTTATTTTGGTACTCCAGTTGTATTTTAATCAAAATTTTGGTCTTTTTTTTAGACCATCTTCAAGAAAAAAACCTATTCTCAATTATTTTTTTTCCAGTACTGTCACATCAATCAACAATTTTTATTTAACCGAAAAATTCATTCTCAAACACAAAAATATTCTTAGAACATTTTCTTTCCCATCAATTTTTATATTTTTCGATATTGCTCATGTATTTTATACTTTTCAAAATTAGACTCATTATTATTTTATATTCTATTCGAACTATATGTAATATACTTACTATAAATAGATAATCCATACATATAAAAAAAATTAGGTTATTCACGAAATATTTTTTTTAATAGTTATTCAATAATAACCCATGTTTAAAAAATTTATAAATTTAGCTGGTCTAAAACTTGATTTGCTACCGTCTATGGATTCCATTCATAAAATATGGGAATACAACTCAAATGAGTAAAAAAAGTTCTGGATAATTTTTAATCAGTAATTTAGTGGGCGATTCGTAAGGAGTCAAAACTAGTTAAAATCAATTAAAATTGATCCTGAGTTAATGTGTATAATTTTGAATAAAGTTGATTGATTGAGATAAGAGAGATTATAATTAAATGATATTTAAGATGTAATAATTATTGTTGATGTTATTTAAAAATGTTATGTCATAATATAATTAAATAATAATTAAAGTAGAAAAAATGTGATGAAAGTGATATGTAATTAAAAATATGTGAGTGATGAATAGTGCATTAAAGCTGATGTGATTTAGAATAGAGATTATTGATATTATATAATTATATTGATCATATTGAGGATCGTGCAACTGAGTTAGATTTTGAGTTAAAGTGAGTAAAAATAATCAAAAACTGACTTTGATCAGTTTTGACCCTTTACCAATCATCCCCTTAGCTTCCAATCTCATCCTTTGAGCATCTACAATGCATTGGGTCTAGTCTTGCTTATGTGGCATGTAAATAAACTTAAGTCTTGGATGACATGGATAAAACTATGTAGAATTAATAATATTCACTCCAATGCAAAGAGACTAGGTCTCTGCTTGAGTCTAAAATAGACTTAAGGGTAGGCTGAGTCTCTTTTTCTGGCTGTCACATCAGCATGACCCAGTATACTTTTATTTGCATTGTAGAATATAATTTTTTAGACTGAGTCTATATCTTTGGTGACATATAATTTTTTGGGATTGAACTCAAAGCATTGTAGATGCTCTTAGCGATCTCGGGCTGTTATGGTTGTTGTAGACAATGTGAAGCTTGTGGGAGCTTTTATTGACGTGAGTCCGCTAAAGAGAGATGGGTGTTTAGTTCCATGTAATTTTTTTTCTTTTTTTTATTTTGCGTTGTAGTTTGTGTTTAGTCACCTTCTATAGTTTATTCTCTTATCATTTTGCATTTTCGTAAGTTCTATTTAGGACATTGATTTGTCGGCCTAAGATGAGGCTCGAGGCAATGGAGCTGGTGTATTGAGCTGTTCGGCAAAGAGACCTTGGGTCAACCTGGATAAGATATGAAGTTCTTGATCAACAAGATATTCTTGAGCAACAAAATATTATTGGACAACAAGATAAGTT